GCTATGTTGACAGCATTTGTACGGTGCAATTTTCGAGTTTGTTGTGTCAAAAACCAACGACAACCTGCCAAGTAGCGGACACCGTAGGTGAGAACACCAATAGTAATAGAACAAATGCTGTGTAGATTTATCTTCCACTGCATGCATTGGTAATTAGCTCTGTACTATTTACATAAATTAATCGGAATTGGAGTCGTTGTTGGAGCTTTGTGATTTGATCACCAAAAATCCGACCAAATTTTTGGAGAAAATTGCTTGGATTTGCAATTGATGACCACAACCAGAGTTGATGTTAATTGGAACGCCTAGGGTGTCTAAGTCACAGCTCAATGCCATTGTCACCGTTGCACGATTCCTCTCTAAGGCCATCTCCAACTATGCAACAAACCAAAATTTATCTCTAACAATTACATCAAAAGTTACATCAAATGAACAGTGTTTAACCATTTTCGTCCCTTTTTTTTATTCTTTATAATTTATTTATTTGAAATATTATTTATTTAATTATTTTATAAATACATAATTTACTAAATAAATAATTACGTTAAATTACGGAAAAGATTAAATTTATTAATAAATATAAAAAATTCTCAAAATTATGAAACAATGTGGTGAGGAAAGACAACAGAATTACGAAGTCCAAAAAAGAAAATTGGCAATGACAGAAACTCATGAGGAGAATAAAATTTTGTCGACAGATTTGAGTTTAATAACAGATCCACACGTATGTTTGTGCTTGCAAAACGAACAAGCAAGAATTTGCTAGAAGAAATTTCAATAACAAGATAAAGGATCTGAAAGTTCATTTAGTTTGTTTGGAAATTGTTTCAACGATTTTGGAGAATCTGGAAATGATTTTCCAAATTACTGAACTATGCACTTTTTTATGTATCTTTTTAAAAAAATAATAAATTATATTATCGTATGTATGTCGTTGTTTAATATATTTCGTGTTAACTTTAATAAATAATCGTGTTTGTTGTATTTTAAATCGTTTTCGTCTTTAAATTAATTTATTAATTATTATGTCTTATATTTAAATTTTATTTTAAATGTAAATAATAATATTAATATTAATGAAAATAATAATAATTTATTGTATTAAAAAATATATAGCACAAATAATATAAATATCTGCCACGAGATTTATGCAACGTGATTTTATACCGCAAGCGCACGGTGTCAAGTTTTGTAGTATATTAAAGAATCGAAAAGTGTCGAACCCACAGGGATTGATATTCGACTTCCACTGATTATTATAATTGTGTCCGCGTTTACTTTATCTAGACAATCGAGTGTTAAATTAATGTTTAAATACTAAACTAACGTTAATGAATTAAATAGTGCAATAAAAGTGAGGCAATTTCTAAGGACTAAATCAAAATTACGTGATGTCTAGGGAGTGATTTCACCGTATTCTCAACATAATTCTCAATCCCTATAGATATTTGCATCAACTATTTCCCGAATTCATAGGCAAGAATCCAAAATTAATTCTATTTCCCCCTCTCGAGCGTAAAATAAAACCTATCTCTATATTTTAATCCCAATATCTCTATTCCAAATTAAATATATAAAGATTATCGCGCACTGTGTTCTTGTTTTACCCTCAAAGATTCATACTTTCTCTCGAAACCTACAAACCTAGGTTATATTATTCTTAGATCATGCCTAAATTTCCCTCTCTCGAGCGTCAAATTTAGAACATCAATTCATTCAATTGGTGATCAGGCAACCGAAAGCATTAAACAAGAACAATACAAATCAATTCTGGAAAATTAAATGGAAATACTATAAAGAAATTAAATCATATCTCAAATAGGTTACATCAAACCCTAGATTTAATAGTTTAGTTCATGATTAAGAAGAAAAACATAATAAAATACAAACTAGAGTGCATGTTCTATTTCTCAATCTTGTTGCTTGATTTCTCAGTTTTCTCCCTTCTTCTTCTCCAAAATCGGGTCGATCTTCTCTCAATTGGTGCCTCTCTTTTTCTTGCCTCTTCAGCCGTCTACCACCTTCTCTTATTCTTCATCTTGGTATTTATATTTTCTAAGAGTTCTCAAGGGTTAGGGTATGATTTTTGGATCGAAAAGATAATTAAAAATTCGGGTTTTAACGTTTTGGGATTTGGCGCCACGATTCTCATGTTAACTGGCACCATGGCGCCCAAGTTTCTGCTGCCTGGGCGCCATGACGCCAGAGGTTTTGATGGAATTTCATCTTTTTCGGCGCTGTGGCGCCAATGCCATTGCTTTGCTTCTTTTCTCTTTGTTTTTCAAACCTATTTTCCACTCCAATCTTATTCAATACTTGCTCATTCATGCTCCATTTTATTGATCATCATTTTTGCTCATCACCAACTCCCAATAGTGGTATTTTCTCGATAGTTGTCCAAACTGCAAAACAACACGAACACACACATCAAAACCTTCAAAAATGCTCAAAAACACATCAAAAAATGTGATTTAGAAGCTTTAGTTTAATGAGTGAATTACACTCATCAAATACCCCCAAACTTAGTTCTTTGCTTGTCCTCGAGCAAACACAAAACTAAAGATAATTATTAACGAGCACAAAAACACGACTAAGACAGACAAAGTTACTCAAAAGAAACTTTATGTTAGACACCTTGTATTTACAGATCAAGATTAAAAACACAGCGTCAAATTCATGAAGTACTTCAAAACTATAATGCACGCATCAAATCCTCGCTCATTCAATGCAAACGGGTGTGTGTGTGGAGAGTTAAGCATAACGCTGTACAATAATAAATTGACCCAATTTTCAACCTTAGAAGGCAAATATTTCCTTGCTTCGCTCGTGGGATTCACACACCCCCAAACTTGTTTTCTTTTCTCTTTCCAAGGTGTATTCTAAAGTTAATTTTTTTTTTGCTAATTTCTTACACCGCTCAAGTTTGGTTAGATTTCACTATCGCAGTTCAACTTATCAACAGATGAGGATTCTCCTTATTTTTGACTGCTTCAACCTCTAGGAATCAACTAAGTTACTAACCTCTCATCAAAGGTTTAATCCTCTAAAACAAGTGTTCAGGACGTAATCAAAATATGTGATATTTAAATATATATATTTTTTAATATATGTATTCTTTAAACACTCTTTGTGTGGACGTCACTTTCTCAAGCTTTCTAAAGGACCCTTGTAACGAGCTTTAGGTCGATGACTCTCAAATCAAACGACTTTAGGGCAACAGGTTTTAAACCCTTACAGGCTTAATCACTCGAGTCATAAAGGCTACGAAAAGACGATTCACAATGAGATTATTAAAGTTGTCCTCATTGGGATCTTTTTTATGCAATGATTAGTGCAATACCCCTTATTAAACACCTATTCTCGAAAACGACATCTAACTTAAAGTTTTCACTCAATTTTCATCCTATTAGTCTCAGACAATCCACACAAAATTTAGCACACATGGAATCCACATTTATCTCCAGATTTTCCTGCAACAACTTAACATACCAAATAGCCTATATTTGGTTTAAGGGTATAATAATGTTTAAAGGTTGTTTGGGTTTAGCATCTAAGTTCTCTAATTCAACCTATAAACATGAATCAACCTACTGATGCACAACACTACAATCAACTCACGTGCAAAAATAATTTTCGTTTCACATGAATAAGCAAAAATTTAACTCAAACACATAACTCGTCTATAATTCATAAATCAACGCATGTTCTCAATTACACATATCAATACCAACAATATTATCTAACACATACAAGCATACAAAAAACACAAAATGAATTTTTTTTAATCAATGCATACAATTAAGAAATTAAAAACAAAACACACAAATAAAATAAAATAATTTTTTTTAAATGCCCACAATTCACAAAAAAAAAAAAAAAAAAAAAAAAAAAAAAAAAACTAAGGCAATTTTAGACAATATAATATACTCCCCCCAAACTTAAAGTAAACATTGTCCCCAATGTTAAATTAAAAGAAAATGAGAAGGACTTCCCTGAATTGTCTGAATTGTCAATGATGGTCCGTGCTCTGACGTTGAATTTGATGTACGCTTCTTCTAGCTTTTACCCCCCAAAACTTGAGATTTTTCATGTTCTCCTCGTCAAAGTTGGTATGATTGTTCCACGACGTCATGTTCCTGAAAAATAAAATTTAGATATTAAATACATGGAACAAGTGTTACTTAGCTCAAACATCAAATAACCAACTTGACTACTTATAAACCTAAGGGAAGATGGGATATGGCTGATAAATTCCTAAATAGAAATTATAAAATAACTGAAACTATCCTATTAATCAAAAATAGAAAACGAAATAAAAATAAAATAAAACTCTTGGGTTGCCTCCCAAGAAGCGCTTCTTTATAGTCACTAGCTTGACTCGACCAAGGTGTCTACGGTGGATCTTCGGTTGGAACATCTTTCTTGTTTCTAAATTTTACCCTCAGCTTTGCATTCTCCTTCACCGTAGCATGGCCAATAAAATCAGGCGGTTTGAACCTCGATATAGCCTTCAAAACCTCTTTTGGTTTGACAATGTTTGGAGGTTTCAAAGGCCTAGCCACATAGCCTTCTTTTTTGTCAGGTGGATCAGCTTCTTGGGTGAATATGAAATCCACTACTTCGGCTCCCGAGTATTTGCCATCAGTAGATGCATCCCTTACTAAGTAATTGAGAGCCATATATTGTTCTAAAGGGTCATAGAACACTTCCTTTTTTTCTCTGTGACCTAAAACTGCTTCAGTCGATTGGGCCATATTGCAAATATTGACTTTTTCTTGAGGCTTTTCTACTTGATGGATGTTGAAAATCACATGCTCTTCATTAACCCGTAGTGTCAATTTTCCTTCCTGGACATCAATCAATGCTCTTCCAGTAGCTAAGAAAGGTCGACCAAGAATCAACGGTATTTTCTCGTTCTCCTCCATGTCCAACACCACAAAGTCCACAGGAAGGATGAACTTATCGACCTTCACCAATACATCTTCAATCATGCCTTTGGGTTATGTGATCGATCTATCCGCCAATTGCAAAGTGAGGGTTGTGGGCTTCACTTCTCCAAGACCCAGCTTTTTGAACACTGATAGGGGCATCAGGTTTATACTAGCTCCAAGGTCGCATAGTGCCCTATCAAATGTGATACCACCAATATTGTACGGGATGTTGAAGCTGCCCGGATCTCTCAATTTGTGAGGGAGCTTCTGAAGTATGTCACTACACCCCTCTTTCAGCTTAATTGTCTCGAACTCCTCCAGCTTCTTCTTATTTGACATCACTTCCTTCAAGAATTTAGCGTAGTTAGGCATTTGGACCAAAGCTTTCTGCAAAGGGAATGTTGATGTGGATTTTCTTGAAGACTTCCAAGAATTTTGCAAATTGGTCATCAAATTTCTTCATGAACCTCTGCGGGAATGGTAGTGGGGGCTTCAAGATTAGTGGGTTGTCCGGAAATGAGATCGAGTAAGGCTTATAGATCTTTGTACCCTCTGCCTCAGTTTTCTGCCTTTCTTCTATAACTATGACATTCGACGTAGGCACCATAATCTCCTTAGGTTTGCTTTCTTCAACCATTTTACCACTCCTTAGGGTGATGCATTGCAGTGTTCCCGTGGGTTAACCTCAGTGTCACTGGGAAATTTTCTTTTTTGCTGAGACTTTATTGAGGTAGCCAATTGGCCAATTTGCACTTCAAGATTCTTCATTGTGGCTCCCATGTTGGACACATGTGTTTCAATATTATCCAACCGTAATTCATCTTTGTTAAAGCGTGATCTTATCTTAGAAATGAACGTCCCAAGGATGTCTTCCAAGGGTGGTTTCCCATCAGAATTCTGAGTGTTGAATCCGGGTGGAGGTTGAAGTGTGTTTCTATTGTTGCCATATGACAAGTTCTCGTGATTCCTCTGCCCTGGATGATAGTGATTAGCTTGGTAGCTTCCTCTTTGATTGTAGTTTCTACTATTGACATATTGGGCCTGCTCGTTTGCAACCTCTGTCTCTTGGTGTGATGAAGAAGTACTCATGGCTGAATCTACCTTCTGTTGATTTCCTTAAGTGGTAAGCGTGACTATCTGATTTGTGAGTGATGCAACCTGAGTTGCTAGTGCGGTGATGGGATCCACTTCATGAAGTCCTGCTACTTTCTTTACACCCGATCTCTCACTTGGCCATTGGTAACTGTTGGTGGCTATTTCATCTAATAAAGCATATGCAGCCTCTGCTGTTTTAGCCATTAAAATGCCTCCCACAGCTGCATCTACCATAGTCCTTGTCTGCCCATTTAGCCTATTATAAAATATCTCAATTTGCACCTATTTCTGGAACCCATATTGAGGACATCTCCTAAGCAAATCTTTAAATCTTTCCCAGGCTTCATAGAATGGCTCGAAGTCGAGTTATTTGAATTGGCTAATTTCACCGCGAAGTTGAGCTGATTTAGAAGGTGGAAAGTCCTTAGTGAGGAATTTCTGAGCCAAATCATCCTAAGTTGTAATTGAGCCATATGGTAGTGATTGGAACCAAGCCTTTGCTTTATCCGTTAAAGAGAATGAGAATAGACGGAGTCTAATTGCATCTTCAGTAACCCCATTCATCTTCACCGTGTCACAAATTTCCAAAAAAGATCCAAGATGAGCATTTGGGTCTTCTACTGCAGCACCCCCAAACTGATTTTGTTGCACCATATGTATCAACCCTGGCTTCAATTCGAAATTGTTTGCAGCAATTGTTGGGCATGTGATGCCGGAATAGTTGTCATTGACAACCGGCCTTATGTAGTCCCGAATAGCCCTTTGCTGGTTATCCTCATTGGCTGCTCTAGCATCCTGTTCTGCCATTGCTTCCCGTTCGTTTCCTTGTATGCTTCTGAGAATGCGAAATGTGCGTCCTGGTTCAGGATCAACAGGTAGTAGATCAAGATTTCTCGCCCTTCGCATAAACAGCTGAAAATAATCACAAGGAAGCTTTTAAAGATAGACACAAAAAGAGTAAAATAAAAATTACGGTAAAAATAAAAATCTAGAGTAAAATGAACGCCGATTGATAATAATATCAATTGAATTCGAATGAATCAATCTCCGGCAACGACGCCAAAAACTTGCCACGAGATTTATGCAACGTGATTTTATACCGCAAGCGCACGGTGTCAAGTTTTGTAGTATATTAAAAAAATGAAAAGTGTCGAACCCACATGGATTGATATTTGACTTTCACTGATTACTATAATTGTGTCCGCGTTTACTTTATCTAGACAATCGAGTGTTAAATTAATGTTTGAATACTAAACTAACGTCAATGAATTAAATAGTGCAACAAAAATGAGGCAATTTCTAAAAACTAAATCAAAATTACGTAATATCTAGGGAGTGATTTCACCGTATTCTCGACATAATTCTCAATCCCTATAGATATTTCCATCAACTATTTCCCGAATTCATAGGCAATAATCCGAAATTAATTCTATTTCCCCCTCTCGAGCGTCAAATAGAACACATCTCTATATTTTAACCCCAATATCTCTATTCCAAATTAAATATATAAAGATTATCACGCACTTGGTTCTTGTTTTACCCTCAAAGATTCATACTTTCTCTCGAAACCTACAAACCTAGGTTATATTGTTCGTAGATCACGCCTGAATTTCCCTCTCTCGAGTATCAAATTTAGAACATCAATTCATTCAATTGGTGATCAGGCAACCGAAAGCATTAAACAAGAACAATACAAATCAATTCTGAAAAATTAAATGGAAATACTATAAAGAAATTAAATAATGTCTCAAATAGGTTACATCAAACCCTAGATTTAATAGTTTAGTTCATGATTGAGAAGAAAAACATAATAAAATACAAACTAGAGTGCATGTATAAGAGAAAGATAGAAAAAACTCAAGTTGCTGCTCTATTTCTCAATCTTGTTGCTTGATTTCTCAGTTTTCTCCCTTCTTCTTCTTCAAAATCGGGTCGATCTTCTTTCAATTGGTGCCTCTCTTTTTCTTGCCTCTTCAGCCGTCTACCACCTTCTCTTATTTTTCATCTTGGTATTTATATTTTCTAAGAGTTCTCAAGGGTTAGGGTATGATTTTTGGGTCGAAAAGATAATTAAAAATTCGGATTTTAACGTTTTGGGATTTGGTGCCACGGCGTCCAAGCATGGCACCACGATTCTCATGTTAATTGGCGCCATGGCGCCCAAGTTTCTGCTGCCTTCTTTTCTTCATTGGGCGCCATGGTGCCAGAGGTTCTGCTGGAATTTCATCCCATGGCGCCCCTTATTGGCGCCAGGGGCGCCAATGCCACTGCTTTGCTTTTCTTCTCTTTGTTTTTTAAGCCTATTTTTCACTCCAATCTTATTCAATACTTGTTTATTCATGTTCCATTTCATTGATCATCATTTTTACTTATCACCGGCTCCCAATAGTGGTATTTTCTCGAGAATTGTCCAAACTGCAAAACAACATGAACGCACATATCAAAACGTTTAAAAATGCTCAAAAACACATCAAAAAACATGATTCAGAAGCTTTAGTTTAATGAGTGAATTACACTCATCAATACTCTTAACAAATTTATTTGAAAAATATTAAATAAGGGCAAAAGAGACATTTTACACTTGTACAATTTTGGTGCAAAATGAATACAATTGTACCGTATTGCAATTTTGGTGCAAAATGAATACAATTGTACCGAATTGCATCGAAGTAACTTTACATCAAAAAATAGTATAAAATGGTGCAATTGCCCAACCATGGGAGATGCCCTAAATGACCGAATAATGATCTAAAAACCCCTAAATCTATCTTCCACGCGTTCCACCATTCAATTCCGGCCTCTTTTGACGTTACTTTTTGGCCGCAGTCATTTTCAAATGAGTCAATTTCTCTGTTTTTTTTTAATGATTTTCTGAATTTTGTTTGTAATGCCGCTGAATTGTCGCCTGATACCGCTACTGACGTAGCTGGGTTCACAGGCGAAATTGTGCTTCAGGCAATTATGAAAGTTGATTCCGGGATTTCTCGGATATTTTTGAACGCACTGTGTTTGAATTTTCCTAGGATTTTAGCTTCCGATGGAGATAGATTGGTTTCGGCCCTCCTTGTTCGCTATGAAATTGCTGTCCCAAATTCGGTGCGTGAGAGGATTTCAAATACCCCTGATGCGGTTTCAGCTCAGAGCTCTTCTCTGAATGTGAATAATTATCAGCCGCCTGCTAATGAAGCCAGCATTGCCTCAGCTGTCTCGGCAAACAATGGGGGCAGCATTACGTGGAAGAGCAGTGTGGATTTACTGGACGGGAGCATTGTGTTCAATGATAGAGGGGAAAAGAAAGACTTAACTTCTTTTCAGGAGGACTCAGTGGAAATCCTTGAAAGACAAGAGCTTGTTTTTAAGTTAATAGGACACATATTGGATAAAGTGGCCCATTGATCCCAAGCTTTTGGAGCAAATAAGAGTTTTAGTCAAGGAACAACTCCAATCAATGCGGGCGTTTTTAAAGGTAAGTAAATTCATTTCGCCCTTGTTTGGTACCCATTTTTTCCAAAATACATTTTTCTTTTTTATTTTCAACCATACACTCTTCAATCAAATAATATTACACTTAAAATTAAAATTTTTCCTTATTTTTTAACCACAAATTTTTCAATAATCACTATTACAAAATGCATTTTTACTATCAAAATGAGAAACAAACATGCTCTAATGAACTTGATGTTCTATATATAGGGTACATGGGGAAACTGGAAAAGTTAAATTTAAAGGCAAAAAGTTAAGAATGGTACTCTTACATTGGTTTTTACTACGTGGGCAGATAAAGAAGCGTGATTGGACTGAGCAAGGACAGTTACTGAAAGACAAGATTAATATAAAGCTATCTGTTTACCAAGCGTCAGCAAGGTTGCTAATTAAGACTCTTGCATCGCTTGACACGGAATCAAAGTCATCAAAGAGATTGTGGCTTGGAGCCCTTGCATTGTTGATCGAGGCTGCTGAGGCATGCTTGTTCTCAGTGTGGCGGAAATTAAGCGCTTTTGAAGAGCTGTTTGGCTCATTGCTTGTTGGGATTTCTCAAGCTTCTGTTACACGTGGTGGTCAGCTGCTGCGGCTTCTACTTATTCACTTTAAACGCCCTTGTACTTGTTACTTGCGGTCAGGTACATTCTTGCTTGTTCTCAGTGTGGCGGAAATTAAGCGCTTGTGAAGAGCTGTTTGGCTCATTGCTTGTTGGGATTTCTCAAGCTGCTGTTACACGTGGTGGTCAGTTGCTGCGGCTTCTACTTATTCACTTTAAACGCCTTGTACTTGTTACTTGCGCTCAGGTACATTCTTGCTTGTTTTGGGTTTATGGTCTGCAGCAATTTCCAAGTATTGTAGTTTAATTAATGTTTTCTGTTCTTTGCTTTTCTACGAACAGGCTGATACTTCGGCCAGCAGTCAGGGAGCTATGTTCGAAAGCGTCTTAAAAACATGTTGTGATATAGTTGATTTTGGATGGACAAAAGACCGATCTCCAGTGGACACTTTTATTATGGGATTAGCTACTAGTATTCGTGAAAGAAATGATTATGAGGAAGAGGTTACTGTCAGTCACAATAAACATTATTTTGGATTTATAGTTCTTTTTTACATATAATCAATGATTTCTTGTTATTTTCCTCATGGTTAAGCCTAACGCTTGTTACAAGACTTTGATTTCACCTTTCAATTTGATAGAAACAAACAAGTTGGTCTTTTATGTCATGCATTTTAGACAACATTTTCACATTTAGTTAACATATTAATTTTTGGTGTACTTTTATTAAGAATTCATTTGCAAGAACTATATTTTCATTAGGAAGACAAGAAACACAGTGTTTTCTTCCAATTATTTTGCTGAAGTCAACTATTTTTATCTTACATACCCAATATACCCGCATTTCAAAATTTTGAATCCAATTTAAAGGACAAACCAGAAATATACATTTTTAAATGTCACTATACATACAGAATACGTTTGCAGAAGTCATGCGAAAAATTGTGGGATGGAGGGTGTAGATTCAGACTAAAGAAGTTTAATTTGACTAGGCATTTTTGCAGATACTTAAAAGGTTGCTTATGAGCACCATTTTGCAAAGTAGGTTCATACTTTCCAAAAATGGTGTTTATAAGCAACTTATTAGTATTTCCCAAACAAAAGTGTGGTTGTTCTCGCATCAGCTCCAATTTGACCCTCGGATCAGCTTATGTAGACACTATTATAAGGGTGTGTGTTTGATTGACGTCCTCAAAAACATTGAAAACTTTTCTTTATGAGAGGGTAGGTTTTTATTTTTTAGGCAATTCACACTTCTCAAGAATTCAACTTTATGAAAAAATAGCAACATTTTTTAGGTTGAAAACTAGGCCAATAAAAAACATTCAATTGACATGCTTGCAATCAAAACACAATTCTAATAGTAAATACATTGGTGGTTTAGAGTAAAACTTAAGGATGTAAATATATAATTTTGCCCTTTAAGAGACACTGGTAGCTATAATGATTGTCTATAATTTGGTAATATAAAGAACAACATTTATACAAGGGGTCATTTTCTTATCATGGTAAGTGGCCTACAGTGTCAGATAAAGATATGCTATGGATTATAGGAAGTGCTAACCTGTGCTGTAATATTGTGAAATAATTCCAGTCATGTGCAACAGATACCAATCGTAGTATCCTTCAGGCCGTTCTACATCTTAGTTTGGGCTGGAGAACATGGTTCATCTACCTGTATGTTTGCTGCTGCTTGTTTAATTAACTTTGTTGCTAATACTGGACAATCTTTGATATTCTTTGCCTAACTTTCAGGATGAGAAAGAGAAGCGAGATAGAGAAGCGAGCAGCTCCAGCTGTGCAACTGAATGTCATACACTTGCTAGCTGAGTTGAATGTTGCTGTTAGCAAGCCTGAAGAGGTTGACATGATATTGCCCCTATTTATTGAAAGTCTAGAAGTGGGTAATGCTTCAACTCCTGGCTTATTGAGACTCCGTGTATCAATCTATCTCTTCAATATGTATGATTATGATATTTGAATATTGATGAAGGAAAGGAGTTTCTTGTTGGAACAGGTCTGGGATCCGAAGAGAAGGAAAAATTGGCGAAGTGTCTAGCCGAAAATTTGGATGTCTTCGCTTGGAACCCAAAGGATATCCCGGGGATTAGCTCAACTGTCGCGCAGCACCGCCTCGGTGTCCAGCCAGGGCCTAAGCCAGTGAAGCAGAAAAAGAGAAACCTTGCCCCTGAGAGGCAGGCTGCGGCCAGAGCAGAGGTGAAAAAATTGCTACAGACGGGTTTTATCCGAGAGGTGCAATACCCCGAGTGGTTAGCAAATGTTGTACTTGTGAAGAAGTCAAATGGAAAATGGCGCATGTGTGTAGACTATACTGGGTTGAACAAGGTATGCCAAAAGACTCATACCCACTTCCCAGAATAGATCAACTGGTGGACGTAACGTCGGGTCATGAAAGGCTCAACTTTCTAGATGCATTTTAGGGGTATCATCAAATTTCAATGGCCGAGGCCGATCAAGAGAAGACGTCATTTATCACGGACTTTGGCACGTACTGTTACACAACCATGCCATTTGGCTTGAAAAACGCAGGAGCGACGTATCAGAGAATGGTGAACAAAGTCTTTCGTGGGCTAATCGGAGGTGTCGTAGAAGTCTATGTTGACGATATGGTGGTCAAGAATGCCAGAGCCAATGACCATGTGGCCTGTTTGCAGAAAGTGTTTGACGTTGCCCGACAAAGTAGATTAAGGTTCAATCCAGAGAAGTGTGTTTTTGGTACTGCAGGTGGAAAATTTCTAGGTTTCATGATCACGCAAAGGGGCATCAAAGTGAACCCGGACAAAATTCGGGCAATCCTAGAAATGAAAAGTCCCACCAGCAGGAAGGAGGTTCAGAGGCTGACGGGGCGGGTAGCAGCCTTAAATCGTTTCATGAGTCGGGCGGCGGACAAATGCTATCACTTCTTCAAAGCTATAGGGGGCTCCTCCAATTTTGAGTGGACCTAGGAATGCGAAGAGTCTCTTAGGAACTTGAAGCGGTCATTACAAGAGCCCCCGGTCTTGACCAGCCCATCTCCTGGGGACGTGTTGTGTCTCTACTTGGCAGTATCACCAAAGGCAGTCAGCGCGGTCCTGGTGAAAGAGTTCTCGAAGGCGCAGAAACCAGTCTACCATGTGAGCCAAGTATTGAGGGGTGCAGAAATAAGATACAGCCTGACTGAACAGTTGGTGTTTGCATTAATTGTCGCGGTCAGGAAATTGAGGCCTTACTTTCAGTCTCACACGGTGCAAGTAATGACTGACCAACCTATCAAGCAGATTCTACATTGGCCCGAGACCTCTGGGAGGTTGTTAAAATGGGCCATCGAGTTAAGCGAGTTTGATATCAAATTCAGGCCAAGGACAGCTATTAAGGCACAGGCTTTAGCAGACTTCATTGTTGAGCTCACCACTCCGCCCGAGCTCCCACCAGGGGAGCAGGCAGATTGGAAAATTTTTGTCGATGGATCTTCAAATGATGAAGGATCCGGGGCGGGGATCATAATGATAGGTCCGAATGAAAAAGAGTTGGAATACTCACTGCATTTTGAATTCCCAGCAACAAATAACGAGGCCGAGTACGAAGCAGTAATCACGGGTTTGGGAGTGGCAGCCAGACTCGAGGTAACCTCAGTGGAAATTTGTAGCGACTCTCAGTTGATAATCGGGCAAGTGACGGGGGAATTCGAAGCAAAGGACGGAAAGATGGCTGCATATTTAATGAAGGTCAAAAACTTGCAGAAGGGGTTCACTAAATTTAAGATAACTAAGGTCCCTCGAAAGGACAATGAGCGAGCGGACGTGCTGGCTAAGCTCGCATCAGCCAACCCCAGACGACTGCCTCGCACAGCCAGTGTGCAAATTCTGCGACAACCTAGCAACCAACACGTAATCGATGTTATGAATGTAGAAAATGAGGAAAGTTGGATAGACCCGCTGTTTGAGTATCTCACAAAGAATAAATTGCCGGAGGATGCTCAGCCAGAAGGCTAAAAGTTCGGGCCATATTTGAAGTGTTTGCGACCGACAGAAGCACAGGAGGTGCTAGTCGAAGTACATGCGGGAATTTGTGACAACCACCAAGGGGCGACTACCCTTGCGTTCAAAACGCTTCGACAAGGATATTATGGGCCTAGTATTAAGGAAGATGCTAGAGAGTTGGTGAGAAAATGCGATGCATGCCAACGCTATGGAAATCTGATCCACATTCCGGCCGAGCAACAGACGACAGTTTTCGGGGTGTGTCCCTTCTTCCAATGGGGGATGGACATCTTGGGACCTTTGCCCCTGTCAAAAGGACAAAGGAAGTTCTTGTTAGTTGCCGTCGACTACTTTACTAAGTGGGTGGAAGCTGAGCCTTTGGCCACCATCACGACTGCAAAGATACAGGGATTTGTTTGGAAAAATATCATATGCAGGTTTGGTATACCTCGGGTAATCATTACAGATAATGAAAAACAATTCGATAATCACAGTTTTAGAGCCTTCTGCACCAGCTACCACATCGACCACAGGCTGACTTCAGTTGCTCACCCGTAGGCAAATGGGCAAGCAAGTGACCAACCGAACCATACTGTGGGATTTGAAGACAAGATTAGAAAAAGGAAAAGGACTTTGGGCTGAGGAGTTGCCCAATGTACTATGGGCATATCACACTACCCCCCGAGAGTCGACCGGGGAGACGCCATTTAAACTGGCCTTTGGGATGGAAGCCATGGTTCTGGTTGAGATCTTAAGCGAGACAGGAAGGATGAAAGTCAAGCAACCCGATGACGCAGCAACTAGGGGAGAACTCGACCTCCTCGAAGGGGTAAGGGACAAGGCGGCGATAAGAATGATGGCTTATAAACGAAGAGCCGTTGAGTACTTCAACCGGAGAGTGAAGCCAAGGGTCTTCCAACCAGGAGATCTCGTTCTAAGAGATGCAGCAGCGGCAGGACATCCCCTACCAAAGCTTGGTCCAAATTGGGAAGGCCCGTACGAAGTAATTCGCAGGCTGGGAAAGGGATTTTACAGTTTGAAAGATATAAAGGAAGGCCGCTAGGTAGACCATGGAATGCAGAACACCTCAAAAAGTATTACCAGTAGAACTCAAAATGTACACGTCGGCTGCGCTTTTGTAAATATAGTAGATTAGGTTGCATTGTTTATTTTCTTTATGTAATGCCTCACAAAGGCACCCTTAGTTGTAACAATTTACCTTATTCAATGAAAGACCTTGGCGGTGACGGATGATGAGGGCGCTACGGAAGGGCCAGCCTAGCTGGGACGTCCCGGTGCGCCTATTGAGCTCACAAGACCAGGAATTTTTTATGCCAACAGGCAACTTTGAAATCCACGCCCACCCCACTAAGACATGCGGTCGACGTAGCCTACGCGGCTAGGTGGAGAGCCTTAGAAAGTCAAAAATTGGCTAAGGCCCTTAACCACCAAATCACCCCCTGCGGTCGACATAGCCTACGCGGCTAGGTGGAGAGCCTTGAAAAGTAAAAAAATTGGCTAAAGCCCTTAACCACCAAATCGCCCCCTGCAGTCGACATAGCCTACGCGGCTAGGTGGAGAGCATTGAGAAGTCAAAAAAAAAAAAATTGGCTAAGGCCCTTAATTACCAAATCACCCCCTGCGGTCGACATAGCCTACGCGGCTAGGTGGAGAGCATTGAAAAGTTCAAAAAAAAAAAAAAAAAAAAATTGGCTAAAGCCCTTAACTACCAAATCACCTCTGCGGTCGACATAGCCTACGCGGCTAGGTGGAGAGCATTGAAAAGTCAAAAAAAAAAAAAATTGGCTAAGGCCCTTAACCACCAAATCACCCCCTGCGTTCGACATAGCCTACGCGGTTAAGTGGAGAGCCTTGGAAAGTCAAAAAATTGGCTAAGGCCCTTAACCACCAAATCGCCCCCTGCGGTCGACATAGCCTACGCAGCTAGGTGGAGAGCCTTGGAAAGTCAAAAATTTGGCTAAGACCCTTAATCGCCAAATCGCCCCCTGCGGTCGACATAGCCTACGCAACTAGGCAGAGAGCCGCAGAAAAAAAAAAAAAAATATATATATATATAATAACATGAGAGACGACATTTTAAAGGAACCACGCATCCAGCGCCAATAATATCGAATGAAAGACGTGTTTATACATTCGAAGAATTCTTGCCCACATCCCGAGCAAGTAGGAGATAACAAGGCTAAGCAAAAGTAAACACTAAAAAGGAAAAACTAGCAAGGAAAACAACTAAGAAATGTTTAAGCTCGAAGGGGAGACATCCCCACTACTACCTTGTGATGAACGACCGAGTGATCTGGATGACTGAGCTACGCTCTCCTTCCCCTTGCGCTGTGCGAGAAATCTATCCAAGCCGGAGGGGTCTATAGAAGGATGTTCGGCCATAATCCACTCCTTGGAGAACTTAATTGATGCTGACATCGCCTTCCCCCCGTATGAGTTCAAAACCTTAGCATAATCGGACGATGTCTTATACTGATCCACAGCCGCCTTGAGATCTCCAGCGTACTCATCTGAGGCCTTATACCTCTCAACCGCCTCTTCAGGAGCACGAGCCAAAACAGAACGTAGGTTGTCGATCTCCGTCTCTTGCTCACTAGCTCGAGCGTCCGACATCTCCAGAGATTTCCTCAAGGAGGATATTTTCTTCTTGTGGTGATGAGCCTTCTTTTTCTTTTCTTCAGTAAGAGTTTTCAGCTCTGAGACCAGGCGGCAATTCGACTCAGCGAGTCCGGTCTGGAGGGCCACCATCTAAAAAAAAAAAAAAAATTGTATAAGGGGAAAAAGAGTGAAACCACGAGTTAAAGTCTAACTTAAAAGGCGAGATCCAACATGAAAGAAATCTCGAAATGAGAAACATACCCTCTGAAGGTAAACAGCCGCAGCCCTTTCTATGTCATCTGCGCTGCGCCCTGCAATCGCTCTGGATCGAGCGGGGGTCACCAACGACTTAAGCACCCCCATCTCATGATAGCCCCGGGTGGGAGGAAACCCAAAGCTAGGAAGCGAGTCCTAGCGCTCACATCGCGCACGACTAGGAGCTCCTGGCCTAGGAGCTGGAACCACATCACGAGGCTCATCTAAAGGCTGAGAAGTCTCGTTGATCGTCTGAGACTTTCTCCCAAGATCAGCCCCCCTCCTTCTCTTTGAAGGGATAGGCAAAGGATCCACCTGACCCTCCTGTCCCTGATCAGGCATGGAGTCCATGACTCCTTCCAGATCAAGCTCGGCCCCTGCACATGTAAGTTGAAATCGGTTAAACTCACAAGGTAGAGTAAAAAAAGGGGGGGTGAATATGAAAGCTTACCATCAACGAGGGTAAGGCCCTTATCTCCTCCTGGCAGAGTCCTCAATACCTCATCAAGATCAAAGTCCATACCTGAAACAAACATCCAAGCTCATTAGTCTCGACGAGCTAAAGGCAAAAATAATAAATGAACGTGTGTGCATGCGATAAAAAAAAGAAAAAGAAAAACAACATAAACGACCTACCGATTGGACGACTCATCCCCACTTTCAATATGTTCTTCATGGTTAGGATTGACCCTAAGTCAGGTGCAAAGGGCGGAACATCAACCAAGTCCTGGATTTGAGCTTCTAGAAAGGGAGTAACTTCTATTTGGCTATTGAAGAGACGAATTTGGGGGTGTCGCCAGTTTGTGTTAAAAGAAAACTGACCCTTTGAAGGCCGGACGAAGAAAAATCGGGACTTCCATCCGCTATTCGAATTCCTAAACTTAGGGAATTACATAGGTACCCTAGTGGTAAAATAGACAAAGGCATTACATTGAACTAGCTCATGCATTTCGAAGACACACCTGAAAAGATCCATGGAAGGTGAAATTCCCTTTTTGAGACAGACATACAGAAAATATAACGCTTTTCTCCATGCATTAGGATTAATTTGACTAGGAGTAAGGTGGAACTCGTTGAAAATGGACACAAAAAAGGGATGAATGGGGAACCGAAAAGCCCCGTCCATAACATCCTTGTACATGGCTATCTCACGGGGGTCGGACCCGGGGAGCCTTTCTTTAGGACCAGGGGCTCTATAGACGTAATCATCAACCCGGTCATACTTTCCTAGACATTTTTCTAAAGTGGCGAATTGTAGAGACTATAACTTTTTGGGATATCTAGGGGGACAACCTCACCGGTCGGGTCACGCCCGATTTCCAAATTTTGGCCTGGAGATTTAGAAGAACCAATGTGTCTCTTTGGGAGATTTGGAACAAATGGCTGAGAGTCAATTGAATGAGTTTCACTATCACTATCATAAAGGGATCTGCCGGATGAAGGGGGCGAGTCACTACAAGGGCGGATCGAAGGACCGGATAAACCATGAGACTTAATGGGTGGCGGGGGACGGCCAGCCCGAACGACCAGCGAGGCTGGTCGACGATCGACCAGCCCCTTGGCTGTTCGACAAATCGACCAGCCCTTGGCTGGTTGAGCAACTAGCCCCGCTGGCCGGCGACCGACCCTCCCGTGGGTCGGTCAGACTCCCTCCGACACCCTCCGACGAAGGTCCGGTCGAATCACTATACCCCCATCACTTTTTTTATTGGAAGGAGAAGAAAGAATAGTTTTATACATGACAACAAAAATGATGAAGAGAAGAAATTTAAAGCAAGACCTTGGATTTAAAAAAGGATAGGAAATTACCTTAAAAGAGAGGAAGTCTAGGAGGTTGAGAGAAAATGAAAGTGATTTTCTAGAATGAGAATTAACCCCCCTTTTATAATACTAGAATTCAATTTTTTTGGGGGGGAAATTGGAGGGAAATCTCCCTCCAATCTTAAAGCCATTAGTGAGGATCCATGTGTACAGTAGAATTGCCACTCGATCGTGTTTATATAGTTCGATTTGCTAATACGAACTATTCCTTTCTTTTTATAAATAAAAAAAAAATAAAATTTCAAACCAACCTAAAATTGCTACCCCTTGCCGAAAACATCGACAAGGGGTAGAGGGGTTGAAAGGGCGGTGGTTCAATACCCTTCTGTTTGCCCGGTAATGTTTGGCGTTTCCACCACTCCGTCAAGTATGCAAGACCTGAAAAATGAAGGCGGGGCTTTCTCCCCCGTTTTACCTCCGGCGTGAGAATTAGTTTTCAGACTTGGAAAGAATATATTTGAAATTCAGATGGCTAAAAACGAGAATGGGAGCTAGAAAAAATCCCTTACCTGTGTCACATCCGAGGGTATTTATAGATATTAGGCACTAGGTAACCGCTGGGCGGTTGTGGTGCCACGTGTCCCACGATGGTATTCCCACTACACCCACGTTCTGAGTGATGAGTCCTTAACTTCCCGTCTGAAGATTGTACCTGTATCAGTGGCCATGTAACCTTGTCGATTCATTAAAGGTTTTATGGCTAAGTGTTTGGACAAGGAATATCATTCCCGTTGAGGATTTCGCTTAGTGGTAGAATGATTTCTAGGGATAGCGGTAGAGCGCCCTTTGGGGGTTGTGGTAGAGCGCTCCCTAGATGTAGTGGTAGAGCGCTCCCTGGGTGTAGTGGTAGAACGCCCTATGAGGGTCGATGGCCTTGCATCGGTGTGCTGTGATCTGTCTTGCTTGTCCTTGAGGGTGTCTACTTCTCCCAACCTATATCATTAGCCCCTCTACCCCTTGTCGATGTTTTCGGCAAGGGGTAACAATTTTAGGTTGGTTTGAATTTTTTATTTATTTATTTATTTATAAAGAGAAAGGAATAGTTCGTATTAACAAATCGAACTATATAAACACGATCGAGTGGCAATTCTACTGTACACATGGATCCTCACTAATGGCTTTAATATTGGAGGGAGATTTCCCTCCAATTTCCCCCCAAAAAATTTGAATTTTAGTATTATAAAAGGGGGGTAATTCTCATTCTAGAAAATTACTTTCATTTTCTCTCAACCTCATAGACTTCCTCTCTTTAAAGGTAATTTCCTCTCCTTTTTTAAATCCAAGGTCTTGCTTTAAATTTCTTCTCTTCATCATTTTTGTTGTTATGTATAAAACTATTCTTTCTTCTCCTTCCAATGAAAAAAGTGATGGGGGGTGTAGTGATTCGACCGGACCTTCGTTGGAGGGTGCCGGAGGGAGTCCGACCGACCCACAGGGGGGTCGGTCGCCGGCCAGCGGGACTGGTTGCTCGACCAGCCCCGCTGGTCGACCAGCTGGTGGACGGGTGTCGACCAGCCAAGGGGCTGGTCACAAACCATCTTAGGAAGCACGAGGATGCTGGCAAGAACTGTGTTTCATGGTTATTATAATAGGCATTATTATTTTTTAATTGCAATAAACACACATTTAAAATTTTTTGGTTCAACTGCAAATTGACTTATTCTAATGCCGTAATACCTGAGCATGCAGAGAAAAGTAAATCAACTAATACTTTTTTAAGTGGAGAATTGATCCATGTGCTGTATGGAAGTAGCTGATTGAGAATGTCAAGCGTGTGAAAAAACCATTTCTCCCGAGAGCATTTGGGGGGTTGATGGATTTATTTCAACTGGCCTTTAGTTGAAGTGTTTACACCATTGGTTGCATGCAGAGCACGTGCAAGCATTCAGTATATATGTGTGTACAGATAAGGAAGCTGGTTGTTAACTTTCTGTCATGTGTTCTGCGTGTTTTTCAGTCTTGTTACCATCACCGGATCAGTTCGGGCCGTCGCACGACGCCCTCAGAGAAATCATCTTACTGGACATTATATAAGAACTCAAATTCATATGAGCTACTGAGGAGTAAGCTATGATCTTCTTAAGATCGATCTGTCTTAAAGTGGTAGAGGAAGTATATATTATAGCAATTGCGCTTGGAGTATAAATGAAAGGAGTGGAACAAAGTGTCGCGGGAAACATGGGTAATAGAGGCGCTGTAAAGGGCGTGCTTGGCTAACGAATAAAAACCTTGGTCCGCTTTCGTTCTTTGCATTCAATATCCCATTCCCGTCGCATCTGTTCTATTCAGCCAATCCCTTGTTGCTTGCTTTATCCTGCCCTACCGGATCATCGGTTGTACCCTAACTCTCCAGAATCAATAGAAAAAAGAATGACTTTGCAGCTTACCATTTACCTATCTTTCTCCAAAACCCTCTCCTGGCTAAAGGCGCGAAGTTGACAGTGTCAATGTTAGTACCTTGTTGGTGAATGTCAATATTTGTGCCATATAACAGACTTGACTGTGTAATTACCTAACACTGATATCAGTTTCTCATGTTGGAGACAAGTTCTATATCCATGGGCCTCATTGATCTTCTTAATGTGATTTTTGAGGATAATTTAGCTAATGTTATGGGAACTTCTCACTACAACAACTTGTATACAGTGTTGTAAAAAAATTTAGTCGTCATGTCATATTGTCCTTCTGCTTTTGCAGGTTGTGCCCAATACATGAAGCAGGAGACAGATGGGTGAGACTAATGATAGTGGCTTATACGAGATTTTTCAACAAGACTTTGGGCCTGTTGGTTCGCCCAGCTTTGAAGCTGCTTGTGAGAACTTCCTCATTAGCAGTGCTGGTTATGCAGTTTCCAGCCTCTTGCTTCAACCAAAGGATAGACATAACTGGAATCTTTTGTTTGACAGGTAAGCAGTTTATTGTACCTCCCTTGTTTTCTGATTCAAACCATGTGATATGAGAGTTTAACCAATAATTTTTATGATTGCAGTGTGGGGAGGCTTGTTCATATTGATTTTGGTTTTATACTGGAAACTTCACCTGGCAACAATATGCGATTTGAAAGTGCCCACTTTAAACTGAGTCGTGAGATGACTCAATTACTCGACCCATCTGGAGTAATGAAAAGTGACACATGGTACCAATTTGTAAGGTAAATGTTGAAATTTCAGACTGATGAATGGATCTTCTCCTTCTTTTCTGTTTCTATTTTATGGGAATTGTTATCTCGATTCCCATTCCATTTTTACAGCTTGTGCGTGAAGGGTTTTCTTGCTGCAGGCCGCTATATGGATGGTATCATAAACACAGTGTTAATGATGCTAGATAGTGTGTTACCTTTCTTCAGCAGGGGCGACCCAATTGGAAATCTTCGGAAGAGATTTCATCCTGAAATGAGCGAGCGAGAGGCAACCAATTTTAGGATCCGCATCTGCACTGATGCATACAATAAGTGGACAAATGCTGGTTATGATTTGATTCAGTATTTGCAACAGGGCATTGAAAAATGAGATACTATCTGCCTTGGACGTGCACTTTGATTTCTTGCAAGCTTTTGTTCTCTTCTGTTTTCTTAGTTTGGAAGCAAAAAAGGAACAGATTCTATTCTCATTTTCTTTTCTGGTGGAGGGATTCCTTTCGGTTGTAAAGATATAGGCAGTAGCTCGATTTTGTCAATGAAAATGACTTTTACTATGCAAAATTTTTTTGTTGTTGTTGCCCGAAATATTTAAAATTACTCATTAGCTTGGTATCTTTGCCTTGTGGGTTCTTCAGTTTCACCAATATTTCATATAATTTCATTGTTTTACATGTTGCACTTGCAAATCGAAGAGTACTGTTTAAATTTAAAGATTAAGCAAAAGTAACGACTTGTCGGATTATCAAGTGCGGTGATAAATCGACAATTTACATACTTAAAAGCACTTTTCTTTTCCACAAATCTCATTTCATTTCTAGCTTGACGAAATATAAACTCGTCGTTTCTCATTTTATTCCTGGTCCAAAAATAATCAAGACAAAGCTAAAAAGCTTTCAAAGTTATCAATGTGTTAAATGTCTCATAAGTTGTCATATTTTTCAACTTTGTCAAATATTTTTTAGTTGTCAAAGTTCTTCGACTAGTAATGAAATGTTATCTTATTTGTCAAGTTAACGGACTAGATGACGTGATAGATGAAATACAAAAGAGATAATAATTTGATAAGTCATTAAATCTGCTAATTTTAAAACGACGAGATAAAATTTTATTCAGTTCAATGACAACTTAAAAAACTTCTATAGTTCAAGTGCAACTGGAAAACATCTGAAAAGTTCGATGGCAAAATATGCTATATTTTGCGAAAAATGTCGTAAGGATTTATAACTCAGTTGCCAACAAAGGGTCAAAAGTTGGATTCACTGAAAAAACGTAAGTTTTGGGCAAAATCTGCAAAATCGCAAATTTAATAAAACTTGAGGGATATTTAGCCAAAACTTGAAAATTGCTTGGGTTAATTCTCCACAAAGTACAGTGTCTCCTCTTCTCTATATTTGAGCAAGCCAATGCTTAGAAGTAAATTCAAAGAGACTTTGTATTTTAATTCATTAAAAATAGAGGATGAATTAACCCTGAGAGGTAGTTTAGTGATCAAGTCTTGGGCACGCTCTCCAATGGTTACCAGTTTGAGTCCACTCAGAGCCATTGAGGTGAGTATCCAACTGCAAATTTCAGGGTCCCGTAGGATCAGTAGATGTGCGCGTAAGTTTGCTTGGACACCCACGATCATTAAAAAAAATAAAAATAAAAAAGGTGTGAGTTTGATTCTTCATATTTTACTTCTTAAGTTATTTAAATCATATTTGAATTGATTGACCATTTATATATAAAGATATATTAGATAAAAGATAAGGAAAAACAAATAAACGTTTCTTAATAAAACAAAATTGAAGAGCCAAGATAGAGAACATTTTCAAAATTTAAAGATGATATTTATAAATAAAATATTTTAGAGATGACGATAACAGACTGAATTTTCAATTTATTCTATGTTTGTATCCAACATTTTGACCGACGTAAGTTTTAATTGCAAATTTTAATTACAAATCAAATTTCGCATCATTCTATATATGTTTGCAGGTTTTATTTTATTTATATACTTATTTAGAATCTTTAGATGATGAGTTTTGTGATTTTTCAGTTGTTACTTTCTTCACTTTGTTCTAAGAAATGTGTTCTACTTATCTCAACCATGAACAATGCAGGTTGTGCTTCTATATCCTTCTGGTTCTATTGTTCTTATGAGAATAGCATGGTGAGCTTTCAACTCATTTTGTTATACACCGATAATATTTTAGTCTTCGGTAACTGTTCTGTGGTATTGATTTGCCCATTTATTCCACATTTAAGAACATCGAGGCAAGAGATCAAGATGAACGACATAACTGACATTTATATTGGGCTGTTTAATTTTTTCTTATGCTAAAAGATTGTCCTATTTTTATGAATATGCTAATAATGATGTAAGGCGGATTTAGAGGTTTCGGTCTGACTTCGAGGTATTTGATTTGTTTTGGATCGAATTGTATCCTATTATTAAGTTGGAGGTCTAATTTTTAATATATCTGTAAATTTTAGAGTTGAGTCCGCTATTTTACCATCGCCTTCAATTGAGTCCCTCAATAAATAAAAATTTGAATTTAACATCGAACCTATTAAATCGTCCCGTATCTTACTTTCATCTTCCATTCCTCCATTTTACCTTTACCATTAAATGAGTAACTCTACTAATGAAAAACATCTCTACATCCCTCAACTTACTAAAATCTTTAATAACAACCTTCATCTCTAATCTTTCCCATATTTTTTATAGTCCTCAATCTTACTAATATCTTCCAGTAGGTCCATTATGTTATCAACCAATATTCTAAAAAGCATAATGCGTGGCGATGAGTGGATGTCAAGTTTCGGTTGATATGTGCTTGAGAGAGGCTTAGGCGTAAAATTGCATTAAAAAGTTTTTTTTTCCTTATTTTAATATTATTTTAAATTTTTATTCAATTTAAAAATCATTTAATAATACATACTAGTTATAGTACCAAATGCAATTTTAAGAGCTTAACAAAATAAATATAATTTTGAACAATAAACAAGATATATTATATTAGTGATAATTGAAATATTTGGAGAGTTTTTAATTTTTGCTAATTAATAGAAGATAGGAAAATGATTAATTAAAATAATAAAATATAAATAACTATTTATACAATAGTACAATACATAACAGTCAAACTAAAGGAACAATACACTACAACAAAATCAAAGGTACAATATATTACAGCCAAACCAAATGAATTCTTATCCCATATTGAACATTTACAACAAAATTCTTAGAGCTGCCCTCTACAAATTAGTTGACCAATAAATAGGTAAGCAACTTTTTGAGCCTTTCAATTTATTTGCCTAAAAGTTGAAAATTTTATAATTTATAATTTTCGGATCTTTCAATCCAATTCACCTAAAAGTTGAAAAATTTATGTAGCATTCAATTTTTAAAAAAAAAAAAATAATAATAATGTGTGCCAAGGCAAGCTTATGCGAGCCAAGGCGCACCTTAAAGTAGTCCAAGGTGTGCAGTTTTTGCCACGCCCCACCCAAGCGCACCATTTAGAATACTTTTATCAACATCTTCAAATAATTATTAATGAAGTCCATAAACTTTCTAGAAGTTTCAGTTCAGACCTTATACTTACGTAAAATTTCAATTGAGTCTCCCTGTGTCTTACTCCGTCATCTTACTAGCAGGCTAATAGCTTCAATTTACAACTTACCAACATCTTCAATTAAATCCTCCATCTAACTTAGCGTCTTCAATTACATCCCTCATATTACTAATAATTTTTTTATTTTTATTTTTTGGATTGAGATCTTATATCTTCAACTGTAATGAATTTTGTAACTTGAAGCAAAATGTAAAATTTAATTAAAATATGTATCTTATAGGCCTAACTACTAAATTATATGTATGAAACTAGAGAACATACTATTTACTAAATAATTGTCTGAACAATTTAAGTTTATATATATATATATATATATTTTTTTTTCCCTTAAGATAATATCTATCTATATCTTAAAGTGAGAACTATCGTGAGGGAATTATTATTATTATTTTTTAAAAGGTAATATCTATCTAGATCTTAAAGTGATTGCAGTTCTCAATAATAAATAAATTGAGTGGCAATCAAGTATTGGTTATTATATATTCGTTGGGCTTGAACTTGACTTGCAATAATTATTCATGGAATATAATGTCATCCTACACGATAAGTTATTTATTGTGACAGTGCTTTTTGAAGCACATATTCTTTAATTGTATCATCTAAAAAAATATACTTGTTG